TAAGTATCTGGCTGTGGAGCCAGAGGCTGGAAATTCAGTCCCCCTCTGTGCCTCCTTTACAAGGATTGGATTTGATGATTCATAGGGTTCCTTCCAGCTCTGCAGTTCTAAGATGATGAGGATATTAGATTATATCTATAACTGCTTATTCTACAAGTAAGAATGGTATTTCTGTAAGCAGCTTTATTTGTAATTAATTCAGCATTGGTTGAGATTCCAAACTACATGAGTAAACATGCTAAAGACAAACATTAATGTGCACAAATGATGAGCATAAATATAATCCTACTCATGTACCTGTCTTTCAGCACTTTTTGCACTGCTGTGAACCGTTCTCAGCCTTTTAACTGAAGTTATCTACAGTGGTGCCTCGCTTGACAATGTTAATTCATTCCAACGAAATCGCTGTAGAGCGAAAACATCGTCAAACGAAATTTAAAAAACCCATTGAAACGCATTGAAAACTGTTCAATGCGTTCCAATAGGCTGAATACCTGCTCGTCCAGTGAAGATCCTCCATACAGCGGCCATTTTCGGTGCCTGTAAAGCGAGGAATCCGTCCTAGAAAACAGCGGGGGGCCATTTTCTTCAGCCGGTGGCCATTTTGAAACCCAACGATCAGCTGTTTGCCGATTGTCATAAAGTGAACATCGGTTCCCGAAGCAGTGAACCGATCATCGCACAGCGAAAAAAACCCATTTAAAACATCGTTTTGCGATCGCAAAAGCGATTGCAAAAACGTCAACATAAAACGGAGTCATCGTAGAGTGGGGTAATCTTCCAGCGGGACACGACTGTATTTCACATTCCAGTGTTGTCAAGCCACTAAGTTTTAACAAGTTGAGCAAAGACTGTAGAAGGGCATCCAGGTCTTTCTGCACAGACCGACTTAGTATGAAAAGTAGATGTCTTGGCAGAGTTACCTATCTTGATTCATATAGTCATGGCCAAAAATACTGACACCCTTGCAGTTCTGTCAGAAAGTGCAAAATATCTCTCAGAAAATTGTTGCAGTTGCAAATGTTTTGGTACTGACATGTTCATTTCTTTGGTTTGCATTGGAACAGCACAAAAAAAACATAGAGGAAATGTCAAATCTGATACACACAGAAACCCAAAAATGCACTTGCATTGAGAAATAATTGCTTTTCAAGCATGTGATGCTCCTTTAATTTGTATTTAGACACACCTGTCACAAGTAAGAGGTGTGGGAAATATAGTAATCACACTTGCAACCAGTTAAGATGGAGAAAAGTTGACTCAACCTTTGTGTTGTGTGTGATGGAGAAAAGAATGAAGTGAAAAGAGTTGTCTGTGGATTTGAGAGAAAAAATTGTGGAGAAACATCAACAATCTCAAGGATAGAAGTCCATCTCCAGAGATCTTAATGTTCCTGTGTCCACTGTGTGCAATATCACCAAGAGGTTTACAGCCCATGGCACTGTTGCTAACCTCCCTGGATGTGGATGGAAGAGCAAAATTCCTGAAAAATTATAATGAAGGGTTGTTCGAATAGTGGATACAGAACCCAGATTAACTTCCAAACAAATTCAAGCTGATCTGCAGACACAGGGTACAACAGTGTCAGCTCACACTATCCATCGCCATCCGAAGGAAAAAGGAACGCGATGGTAGGAGACCCGGGAGGACACCACTGGTGACAGAAAGGCATAAAAAAGCAAGACTGGAGTATGACAAAACTTATGTGACAAAACTGCAATCCTTCTGGAAGAACGTACTGTGGCCAGATGAGACAAAAGTAGATCTTTTTGGTAAAGGACATCATGGCACTGCTTACAGAAAAAGAAATGAGGCATTCAAAGAAAAAAAACACAGTCCCTACAGTCAAACATGGTGGAGGTTCAAAGATGTTTTAGGGTTGCTTTGCTGCTTCTGGCACTGGATGCCTTGACTGTGTGAACGGTATCATGAAATCTCATAATTACCAAAGAATTTTGGGGCGCAATGCAGTGGCCAGTGTCCGAAAGCTGTGTCTCCACCAGAGGTCATGGGTCTTCCAGCAGGACAATGACCTGAAACATACCTCAAAAAGCACTCATAAATGGTTACAGACAAAGCGCTGGAGAGTTCTGAAATGGCCAGCAATGAGTCTAGATCTGAATCCCATAGAACAGTGGTCCCCAACCTTGGGCCTCCAGATGTTCTTGGACTACAACTCCCAGAAGCCTTCACCACTACGTCTGCTGGCCAGGATTTCTGGGAGTTGAAGTCCAAGAACATCTGGAGGCCCAAGATTGGGGACCACTGCCATAGAAGACCTGTGGAGAGATCTGAAAACAGCAGTTGGGAGAAGGCATCCTTCAAATCTGAAGGCCCTGGGGCAGTTTGCAAAAGAAGAGTGGTCCAGAATTCCAGTAGAGAGGTGCAAGAAACTCATTCATGGTTGCAGGAAGCGATTGATTTCAGTTATTTTTTCCAAAGGGGGTGCTACCAAATATTAAGTTAATAGTGCCAATAATTTTGGCCAGTGCATTTTTGGGTTTCTGTTTGGGATTGTATCAGATTTGACTTTTCTTCTGTTTTTTGTGTTGAACCAAAGAAATGAACGTGTGAGTACCGCAACAATTTTCTGGGAGAAGGATTGCATTTTCTGACAGAATTGCAAGGGTGCCAGTATTTTTGGCCATGACTGTATGAAACTATCCTATTTAGATCTTGGCTTACATACAAAAGTCACTTGGTGAACTTCGGCCAGTCATACCATCTCAGTATGACTTATTTCACAGGGTTGATATGAGGAAAAATAGGTTGAAGGATCGCAACGCAAGTTGCCTCAAATTTTGGGGGGAACAAGTGGAGATGCAAATTCTTTTGTTGTTGTTGTTCCTCTCCTATGAAAGGTTGGGTATCATCCTGTTTGCCCTGACACTGAATCTAGCAGCTTGAAACAATGTTGTGCCACATCTAAACCAATTCTGAAGGTTCTTCGGCTAGTTTTTTGTTCCCCTTCCTGCACTTTTCCCTCATTTCTTTTTGTGAATGATCAGTTGTAATGAACTGTACTTCTCATTATCAAAGTAATCCAGTTTTCAATATTTTGTGATTTATTCACTCATTTTAGTACTACTTTTTTGGTCATCTTCTCAGTCTTAATACATTCTCAGCATTCTGCAATAAATCCATATTTCAAATGTTTCTATCTTTTTTACATTCCAGTACATTGCATGTTCTAAAACCAATGTTATTTTTTATTGCATTTCCTTCATAATCAAAAAAGATACTCTGGGTCATTGCTATTGTAGCCTTCATTGCATGGCTATGCTTCCAATATTCAAATGTAGCTACTTAAGTAAAATACATACAGTATAAGTGGACTCGCACATCAAAGCTCTAGCACTATGTCCACTGCTGTTAATACTGGGCATGGAAATTATTACGGAAATGCAACTAAGCTGAGACCTCTGATAAGTGTACCTGTCTAGTGCACATTTACAAAGGTATACCTCTGATGTTTATGTATCGGTTAGAATCCATTGATCTTTGCACGTGGCTTGCATAACATGCTGCAGCTAACTAACAAGGTGCCAAAATGCATCTTGGTTGTACAGTACAGTCAAACACACAACTGAGATGTGCCCCAGCACCTTGTCAGCTGCAATTGGCTACTGCAGGGTTATAGACCTTAAGCAAACACCAAAAGGATTCTGGCCTTTATGTTTTGTAAGGAAGGTACCTTAAGATACCAGATGCAGGGGAGGGGTATCATGAGACAGGTATCTACAGTATAGGGCTCTGGTGTCTTACCATAAAGCATGTGCCAGTTGTTTGTGCCAGGTTTTCTTTTCAGAGAGCAACCAATATTCTGTTAGGTGGCTAACACATGCTGGCAAAAGTGAACATCCTTATTAATAAATACACTTAAATGCTTTTGTTACCCATCGTGTATTAAAAGTACTAATGGCAATAGGCAAGAATTGAAACAACAGATTGCATCTTTATCTTTTACTATTTTTAAAGAAACGAAAAACATGTAGTGAATTATTTTGCTGGACAGAAAAAAAGAAGTACTAGTAGTTGGTGTCACAAACCAATACTATACACTGCAATTCCACATCCAGTTACCAGGAAGGGAGTCCTAGTGAGAAAAAAAATGAATCTACTTAAAAGTAGACGTGTAAGACCGCACTGAAAGGAAGTTACATGGAGTTTCAAAGCATTCGCCTTGTTTTTGATGTTCATAAATCTGAGAAAAAGCTATAGCGACCTTAGAAATAAAAGCCGACACACGGAAATCCACATTTTTATTTTTAATTCTGCCCCTTGTAAGAGTCGCCCCCTATAAACTGTACTGAGTCAGATCACAGGGGGGGGACACATTCTGTATCTGCTCGGAGAAAACCTCATATTTCATCTGTTGCAGGAAACTGCTGGAAACAAGTCTTTCAGGGATTCAGGCAGGATTTCTTCCTAGTCCTGCGTGCCCCCCCTCCCCGCAGCCCAAACCAGGCCTGAGACCTGCTTAAGTTCCGAACCCGGACCAGATCGGTGTGTTCACCTCATAACCCCACCTGCAGGCGTACGGGGGAGGGGAGGAGATAATGCACTCTGTACCTGCTCTGAGACAACCTCCTCTTTCATCAGTTGCACTAGGCCACACAGAATGCCTCCTCCTATTGCCTCTCGCCCACTTCGCCTGCCCTACGACGGCTCCTTCCAAGCCACGAAGCCTGTCTCCGGTGAGTCGACCCCCCCGGGAGGGGCCGCCAGGACTGCGAAGCCTCCCTCTTTCCCTCGTTCTCCGTGGCTTCGGGAGGGCCTCTCCCGCTCCGCCCCTTCGCCGGGTCCCCGCGCGCGGAAGCGGGCCTGACGTGTGGCGGAGGTGGCGGTGGCGCCCGGCATTGTGGGAGCGGGAGCGGACGTGGACGCGGCAGGGCCGGCCTCGGAGGGGCGGGCCGGGCCCTCTGCTT